GCGTCCTTTCATCGATTAGACACGTCCTTTCATCGATTAGACAGTCCTTTCATCGATTAGACTCACCCGGTGTGCATGAAAACGTAGCTGAGGAACCTCCAGGCCTGGGCTCGGAGCTGGGGGTGGTAGGGTAGTGGGCTCTTTAGGAAGGCCGGGCTGGACACCTGCAGGACTAAGCGATCCAGCTGGATGCCATAAAACATGAAGACTGCTACCTGGCAGAGCAACGGGAAACAGCAGGACAATTCATTAATCATTTATAATCAAAATGAAACTCAGAAATCTGAACGAGAGAAACTGAAATGACTCCCGAAGTCTTAGAACATCTCCAGAAACGTTCCCCCTGAGGTGGAAAGATTCGTATTTTCTTTATTTTTCCAGGAAGGTGCAGGGTCACGATCTTGGCACTGATGACTGGCATAATGGTTCGTTCCATTCACCTGTCCAGTTTCACATCACCGTTCACCTGTCCCACCTGCAATAGTCTCTATTTAACCTGCCTGCTTCCAGCCATCAGCCTCAGATTATTGGAGCCTTGGTGAGAGTTCTCTAGCGTTCCTGTTTGTGTTCTGATTGGTTGATCCTGACCCGTTCTGCCTCTCGACCTCTGAGCCTGCCTGTTCCCGTTCTGATCTGTTTGCCTGACCTGTCTTTGGACTCCTGCTGGATTCTGACTGTTGACGGAACCTGGATCTGCTTCCTGACATCCACCAGGATTTCCCTTCTGTACCTCTTTGGATCTCTGATCTTCTGGCCTGGACTCCTGGGAACTTCTTCACTTCGGCTTTAGCTTCACCTTCTGGATAGTCCCGCCTTCCTTCGCCTGCTTGGATCTGTTGGTCTGGAACTTTCTGGGCAGCGTTCGCCGTGATGTTGGCAGCCGTTCGGGTGGAATCCACGCCTTCCTCTGGGCTCGGACTGAACTTTAAGACCAGGGTTTGTGACTCCTGCGTTTATAATCATCCTCCATCAGATTAACGTGGTCACTAACCTGAGTTTTCCCTCTGCAGAGGTTCCTGCCTTAGAAGTCCCTGCAGTAACTACAGATCCCTCCTTTAAAATAAATGCTTTTGATAAATCAGTCTGTCTGCCTGCCTTAAATTCTGGGGCTCCTTTTCTGACCCTTAACATGAAGTTTTATCTGTAAAGAGCCTTTCCTTCAGCGCGCTTAACTTTTCTTCTTTTTATTACTTCTGAATAAAAGCCAGACTCTCTTAAATTC